GAGGCTATATTAGGGCTTTCTTTAGTGGACAGGAGCACAGGACTTCCCTGAAAGAGTTAACTGGAAGATAAGTCTCTCAGTCAGGACAGACAGGGTGAGCTAACAGGTTTTGTAGAGCCTTTGCCAAACTAAATCTGACAGGAGTTTTATGGGATGAAAGCACACACCCACCTCCTTTTCACTTGCAAATGCCCTCACCACTGAGAAAAGCCTAAGATTTACCTCACACAGGCGCACACCAAGAGGAGGGAGGAGAGTCGGGGTCTGAACAGAATTAAAGTTGGAAAAAAATAGAAAGCAGGCAAAAGATACAGTAGGACAGTCCCAAACACTGAAAGCATAAGCTATTACCTTTCCAGGGAGAAAAAAGAAAAAGACATGGACATTCCGTGGTGCGCCGTACCAGGCATAATATTCTCTACATCTCCAACTTTTCACAAGTCCTCCCCTAACCTCAGCTTTGGTAGAAACCCAAAGCCAGCTTTCCCCTCAGGACACACTTCACATCTCTAGTAAATTCTAATACTCACTTTCTCATATCTTACACAGCAAAGGCAAGGAGAGCCCTCAGAAGGGATCCTCAGCACCACTTCCAGGCAAGCAAACCCTCCAACTCCCCACAGAGGCCCTTCCCGCCCAGCGCTCATCATCTCTGCCCTACAAACCTGCTCTCATCCATCATTTCTTCTCCCAGCAAGTGACATTCTCCACGCTAGGGGCCTGAGAGATGTGTTGGATAACCTCCTGATGTAATACGGCCCACATGCAGGCAGTCACAAAGACCTAGAGGAGGTCTATCCTCCACCCCATCTCTGGAATACTTTCCATTTCTCTTTCCTCAACTGTCACAGACCAGGTCCTTTGGGTCTTACGCTTCAACCAGAACAGGAAGAGCTTTGGTACCTCTGCATATCTAGATCCTCTTCCAGGCCATAATCACCTTCTAACTGCTGAAGCTTTGCTTGGACAGCGTTCCAGCAGAAGACAGTGGAGAAAACTTGCTGTGGATGCTGTCTTTTCAGCCAATGAGCCCTAAGGACTCACAATTAACTGAGTCATTGTTTTTGACTGTCCTAATGTCAATGAGTAAATCAACCACAGTAGACAGACATGACCAAGACCACAACAACAACAAGAAAAATCAGGTTATTAGGACTATCCGGAGTCCCATACTCAACTACCAAACCACTTATGGAATAAGCATAGAATTTCAATGCCATTAAAATGCTCTGGCCTCTCCTCATCCAGACAAAAATAAGACTGCTAGCAGCTTCCCATGAACCGGTGCCAGTAATAAGTGATGGAACGATAGTAGAAATGTGCAAGTGTTTTAGAAATGTAGTATTGGCCAACTTCAAGAAAAACTGTAAAACAAGCTTTCTGGACCCCGTCAGAACTTTGAAATGAGAATATAATTTCCAAAAAGATTTTTCCTTGGGCCCCGTCAAAGGGAGAAAACATGCAACTCAGCATCCCAGAAAATGACCCAGAGATCTTCTGAAGGCCAGCTAGAGCAAGTAGCTTCAGCTCGGAGGTGTAAAAGTCAGCGGCAAGAATGTGATTTGCATGGCACGCGAGGGCAGCATGCCCAAGCCAGTACTGAGAAGACATCTCAGGAAAAGAGCAGAGACCAGGAGAAGGGTTCTGAGCAGAAGTGTTTCTCTGAGCAGAGACCAGGAGAAGGGTCGGCAGGATACTCAGAAAAGACCTGGTCTCAGGCTAAAATAGTCATCAGTTAACCAACAGCTCAGACTTTTAAAAAGAGTAAAAAAAAAAAAAAAAAAAAAAAGTAAAACCATAATTATTGAGCATTTTCTATTTAAAAAGCAGTGGCACCAAATTAACGCCATCAGACTGTCCTCAAAAGGTGAAATTTTTAGTCAACTGATCGGTTGTGTAATTAGCCCAATGCCAAGCGACACTGGCTGACAAACTCTTTCTGTGAGTCATCTTCATTAACTTTCTGGCTCTGCACATGTATGAACAGTCAGAATGACTTTCACAGTACCAAGTTCACACCAAACACTCAACTTAAAGGAAAAAGTTGTCATCTTCCCTGATTTACAAAACAAGACTGAAGAAGCATCTCAGTGCAAAAAGTCAAATATAAGAACTCAAGTATAAAGCAGTCTGATTAAAAAGAAGTCATCAAAGAACCCAGTTCTGGGCCTCAAATCAAAGGAAAAGCAAATCCAATGAACCAAATTTTTTAAAAAATCAATTCTTAACTAAATCTTCATATCCACAAGAGAAGAGAATTTTGATCATTTGGTCACCTAAACCACTAAAGCAGTTTCTAAAGTCTGTCTCCTGACAAGACCACAAGTGCCCTAATTGATCATCTGTCAATCAACCCCGAATACTGACCCTTACCCACATACATGACAAAGTTCTCATGGTATAGGAAAAAAAGAAAAACTCACTTAAAATTGAACCATTTTTGAAATAATACATACTCTGTACTTGGTCCACCCCAGTATTTGCTTGGCAACTACAAAAGTAAGGTATTTAGGTTACTAATAGTATCTCACTTTTCTGGAATGAAAAAAGGCAGGGGGTTGGGGAGCAAAGACACATGTTTTAAGTTACATACTTCATTTTAATTCCCAGGTAGGAAAGAATTACACAGAGATTGTGTCTAGAAAGAACCCAAGAGTTCTACCTTGCCAACTTGATACTTCCTTCACCTCTGAAGACCTAACCTTCTTTCTATAGCAAGTCATTGTCATTACAGTAAAGTCTGGAGCAAAGCTGTCAGACAGAAACAATGACAAAAAAGACAGCTGAACCGTGTGCCAGGATCATGGTGTGGACAAGCTACCCCAGGGGCGCCCTGGGAGAGCAGCATTTGGTCGCCAATCCTGTGCCTATCAAAGAGATATTTTGAAGGGGAGGAAAGAAAAAGAACTGAAATATTTTGCGGATAATATCTTCTACTCTCAACCCTGACTTTATATTAACCTCTTTGCATCTTTGAATAGAAAAGGAGACGACGGAAGAGAAAAAGACGAGAATGAAGACAGGTACAACCCAAAACACTGGTTAAAAGGCTCTGGAGTCAGACTGATCTGGGAGTGAAGCCCAGCTCTGCAGCTTAACAACTTCATGATAGATGTTGGCCAATCTGCTTAATAATCACGAGCCTTTGTTTTCTCATCTGTAAAGTGGGTAGCTGTGAGGAATAAACAACATATGGAAAGTACTCAGCATGCTGCCTGACACAGAGGCGGTAGGTGGTCAATATAAAGTAGTAGAAGAGAGAAAGAGGGGTGGGGAAGGGAGGAGAGAAAAAAATCTCAACGATTCGAGAAGAATCTAAACTCGGAACAAATGCCCCATCCTCTTTACAGTCTGAAAATAGTTCTTGGTCACCAACTACATAATTAGCACTGTGCTTTGTTCAGAAATGAAGCCACCTCCTCCTCACTCTCAAGGTGCATGCAATCCAGCTCAGGAAACATAAACCACACATAGGAAATATGTAAAAAAAAAAAATAAAAAAAAAAATTAAAAAAAAAGAAGAAGAATAAAAAAAAAACCCGTAAGTTGTGCTAAATCGTTAAATATTCTACATGTGGTAAAGCAAGAGCTGCAGCAATCTGGAGAAGGGCCTGTGAGGGCTCCTTGTGGGGGACAGTTTCAGGGACAGGGACAGTAGAGGCATGGCAGGGCACTTAGGAGAAGCAGGGGGCATGTCAGGGGAAGGAAAAGCAGATGTGCCCCAGCTGGAGTCTTGCCCTGGAAGCAGCGGGGATATAAGCAGGGACTTAGAGAGTGACCAGAGACTGGATGAAGGAGGAGACAGACAGGAAAGCAGTGAGCATGGGAGCTATCAGAAGCAAAAATGGGCTGGACTTCAGAAATGAATATGAAAAATGAGAGAGGGAGCTGCCTGACTCTCAGATTTCTTGTTCTTGTTTGCGGCCAAGTAAGTTCTTTCTACCTTCTTGGTATTTCTTGGGAGGAAATAAAATCATACTCTCCTATCTCCCCAGACCGAGTCAGCATCACCCCTCTTGATAACCAGGCTGCCCGGGGCAGGGTTTACAAACGTGGGCTTGGCTGGGTCTGTATCCCAGCTCTGCCACTTACCAGCTGTGCGACCTCAGACAAGCAAACCAACCTTCCCAGCTTCATTTTCCTTCTCTGTAAAAGGGGGTAATTATAAGACCCAACCCCAGATTATTGAGAGGATAAGCAAATCAATACACTGAATAAATGCCTTCATTGAGAAGCGCTTAGAAGGGTTCCTGGCATATAGGAACAATCCACAAAAGTGACCCATTATTATTATTATTATTATTATTATTTAATTTTTAAATAAACATATAATGTGTTTTTATCCCCAGGGGTACAGGTCTGTGACTCGCCAGGTTTACACATTTCACAGAACTCATCATAGCACATACCCTCCTCAATGTCCATATCCCCACCACCCTATCCCGTCCCCACTCCCCCCAGCAACCCTCAGTCTGTTTTTTGAGATTGAGTCTTTTATGGTTTGTCTCCCTCCCATCCCACCTTCTTTCATTTTTTCTTTTCCTACCCCCCAAACCTCCCATGTTGCATCTCTACTTCCTCATATCAGGGAGATCATATGATAGTTGTCTTTTTCCAACTGACTCACTTCGCTAAGCATAATACCCTCTAGTTCCATCCACGTCATCGCAAATGGCAAGATTTCATTTCTTTTGATGGCTGCATAGTATTCCATTGTGTATATATACCACCTCTTCTTTATCCATTCATCTGTTGATGGACATCAGGTTCTTTCCATAGTTTGTATTATTATTATTTTTATATATTTATTACCTTTCATCTTTGGCTAGAATATAGCCATAGAAAGCTCAAAGTATCATTTCACACATCACTAAAAAGGAGATACCAATGGGAAACCCATCTTAGAATTGCCAGTTCTTCCAGAACTACAGCCAACAGTGAAAACCTCAGTGCGAGAGACCCAGCCAACCTAGTGTCACACAGAGGACGTGAGTTCCTACCTGGCTTGGTGAATGGCCTCCATCCACTCTTTACCGTCCTGTTCCTCCTCACAGCGCAGCTCCAGAGGTTTCTGACCCTCATGGCCAAAAAGAACGGTAAAGTAATACTAGAGAGAAAAACAAACAAACAAACTTTAGATTTACTTTTTAAGCATGACCGCATAATACAGTATTTCCCTACAAAGGGTATAGGTTTAAAAAATTCATCCAGGGACGCCTGGGTGGCTCAGTTGGTTAAGCAGCTGCCTTCGGCTCAGGTCATGATCCCAGCGTCCTGGGATCGAGTCCCGCATCGGGCTCCTTGCTCATCGGGGAGCCTGCTTCTCCCTCTGCCTCTGCCTGCTGTTCTGTCTGCGTGTGCTTGCTCTCTCTCCCTCTCTCTCTCTCTGACAAATAAAAAAATAAAATCTTTAAAAAAAAAAAAAAATTCATCCACACTGTATCAATCATGTTTCAAAATGTAGTGTCACCCCAGTCCACTTGGCAATGACTCTGCACCTAGAAGATACAATAGGCTGCATCTTAATACCCTTCTGTAAGAGTCAGCCCACAACACCTCACTAGATACAGAAAAGATACTGGATAAGACTCTATGCAGATGCATGGTTAAAATTCCTTACTGAAATTTCTAACCGTAATAAAGGATATCCACAAAAAATTTACTATAAATATTCTACCTATTGGTGTATTCTTACAAGCAACCCTTCTGGGATGCATGGGTGGCACAGTCGGTTAAGCATCTGCCTTTGGCTCAGGTCATGATCCCAGGGTCCTGAGATGGAGTCCTGAGCCCGGCTCCTCGCTCCAAGTCCACTGCTTCCTCTACCCCCCCCTACCCCGCCCCCCCCCACCGGGCTTGTGAGGGTTCTCTCTGCCTCCCTCTCTCACTCTTGCTCTCATTCTCTCTCAAATAAATAAATAAAATTTGTTGTTGGAAAAAACAAGCAACACTTCTAAAATCAAAAATTAGAAAACGATGGCAGTCATTGACACTTCTATTTACTAATTCTGCCTGGAGGGCAATATAGAAAAATAAAGGGATAAAGGCACAAGAAATGGAAAGCAAGGAAAAAACATCATTTTCACAGCTGATATAATTGTCTGTATCAAAAGTTCATTGAAAAACTATTAAAATAGGAACATTGAACCAAATAGTTAAATACAAATATCAATACACAAAAATTTATTGCACTTTGGCATAATAATATCAACAAACACAGAACTTCATTTTGTTGTTTTTTTTTTAATTTTTTTAAAGATTTTATTAATTTATTTGACAGAGAGAGACAAAGTGAGAGAGGGGAACACAAGCAGGGGGAGAGGGAGAGGGAGAAGCAGGCTTCCCACCAAGCAGGGAGCCTGATGTGGGACTCAACCCCAGGACCCTGGGATCATGACTTGAGCCGAAGGCAGACACCCAAGACTAAGCCACTCAGGCACCCCACAAAGTTTCATTTTGAAAACAGCCTTTGCAATAACAAATACAAGTAACTGAAGACTAAGAATAAGGAAATGTGTTTATCACTTCTAAGAAGTAAATTAATCTATAATTTCAATGTTCTTCACTAGAAATGGCAGCAGTTTTTACTTTTGGTAGAATGTGACAAACTGAATCTGAAATCTGCGCCAGGGAAGAAGTTTTCACTTTACATCAGCCTGTTTGAGGCCGGACACATTAATCACCAAACTGAGACTGTCTGGAAAGGAAACGTGACTGGACAGCTTTTTATTGCACAAGAATGATCAGAAAATACACTGGACCTGCCCAGGATGTCTTCCTGGAGCATAAAGAGGACTGGCTACAGAGCTACTCTAAGGAGAGCCACAGCCGAACACAGAGCTCCTTCTGTGGTCCCACCTTCCCACCCACCCCCGCTCAAGGTCTTGTTTATTCAGTGTGACCGTTATGTACTCATTTTCTTCAAAGGAATTAAAAACCTTCAGAACAATAATCCTAGAGACAAGAATTTCCAGCACAAGGGAAAAAGAGCGAGAGAGACAAAGCAAGAAACAGTCTCTTGATGACAGTGAACAAGGCGATGGTTCCAAGAGCAGGAGGCAGGTGGGTGGATGGGAGACACAGGTGATGGGGATGAAGGAGGGCACTTGCTGTGATGAGCACAGGATGATGTATGGAAGTGCTGAGTCACTATATTGTACACCCCAAACTAATATAACACTGTATGTTAACGAACTGGAATAAAAATAAGAACTTGAGGAAAAGAAAGAATTTTCAGCACATTTTACCAAAAAGAAGAAAACTGGCTAAGAGACTTCTCCTCAGGTTACCTGTACGTAAATCATCAATCCTCTGAGGACTCTGAGTCATGCCCGTGTGATAATCCACCACACTTCCCACGGACAGTCCCAAGCCCCGTAAATGGCAAGCTGTCTTTAGTTCCTAAACCCCTTGTCCAGCCAGAGGACTAAATGCTAGGAACCAGGTGGAAATAACCTTATGGAAAGGCCACGGAGAGTGAGAAGAATTGAGTTTAGCCCTGTATGCAATAAAGCTCCATTTAAATTTGAGAGGAGAGAAGTCGAACCTCAATGATATAACAAATCAGTGTCTTAAAGGTCAGTCCTCTGAGTAATGGCATTTCAGTAACTGCTGGCTCCTGTCCAGGCTCAGCTGTCCAGTCCAGGGAGAGGAAACGCTTAATGAACCGGCCCAACCCGTTGAAAGGCTGCAACCCGCACTTCGACAGCAACTGCTACTGTGAAACCCAATTAGAAGCCACCTCTCAAAGAGAGCGAGGCAATTATATTAGCACAGGACACCCAAAGGTTAGACCATGTCTCAAGCATAACGATGATGGTTTTGAGAGGTACATGTCACATTCCCCAGAGTTCACTTAACAAACTCAGCTCAGTTACCAAAAATTAGACTGCCTCTGCAAGCACCTGCAGATTATTTATCTTTAACCACTCATCAAAGTTTTCTTTGTGTGGAATATTCTGGCCTCACTCTGGTATGAACTTAGTATACCATGGATCTAGGCATCAGGCCTGGCACTTTAAAGGTCCCCTTGGGCATCAGAAGTAGCAATGGACACCCTTGTCAGTACCCTGTGACTTCAGAGGTGTCCTGCTGCAGGGAACCTGGAGGAGAGGTCCCAAAGTACTGGGTCATTGTGAAATGCAAGGAAGAATTAAAACAGGGATGACCTTGTTGATGTCTTTAAATTTAGCATTTACAAGGACGGGTGAGTTTTTCTTCCTTTTCTTCCTAGATACTCTCACCTATTTCCCAAATCCATTTCTCCAGGCAGATTCTCTCCCAGGCGCCAGCCCCACATTTCTCCTATTAGACAGCATTTCAGTCAGATCCCAAACTGAATCATTACCTTCCCTCTCTTCCTCCCACCCCACAAACCTCCTCCTCCTCCCCTCTGCCTTCACAATGACTCCTTCTCCTCTTGTCTTTTCTCTGTAAAGTGAATCTTTATCCAATGGTTGCCCCAACTAGGAACCCCAAAGTCATCTTCAACTCCTCCCTGTCATCACCAACACATTTGGTTTCACCAAGGCTCACACGTAGGACTCTCTTCTGGCTTTTATTATCCCTCACCTAGACTACTGCAGCCGTTCTACCATCAGGTGACAAATACGACAGTTTGAAATTCATTTGAAATTCCTTTATCTTAACAGCTGACCTTGCTCCTTCCTTGTACCCTGGCCACCATGATAGCCCAAAGTGGGAGTTTAAAAGGTTTCTTCCTAAAGGAGGACAGGATGACCTAGAGAAGTCCCAGTGAGTTGGGAACACAAGGAGAACGGTGGAGAGAAGTGGTTGAGGTAAAAAGAGAAATCAGGAGATGGAGACACATCTGGTACAGCTTTTCCCCAATCAGGGCTAAAATCCTAGAAGAGGGTGAGGAGTTAAAAAGGTTGATAACAAAAACCAAAAGCCAAGGAGTTTCTGTATCACCTTCCCGTTAGGGATCTAGAGGATATGCCACCTCACAGAACGTCTTCATGCCCCACCCCCCACTCTCATGACAACATGGAGTGATGACTGCATGGGTGGTGACCATATCACATAACTCGGCAAAACTGGTGTCACAGCAGTTGTGTGTTAGATAGATAGATATAGATAGGTAGATAGAGATAGATAGATAGATAGATGATAGATAGATAGATAGATAGATAGGCAGGCCGGCCAAGTTTTGAGGTTAGCTATACAAAGCCTGATGAGCTTCTAAGCAGTGTGGACATTCCCAAGTTCTACCGTGGAGGACCATGGAGAGAAGGGCACTATCAAAACTTATTATGGGATAAAGTAAGGGGTATAAAGGCCAAGCAAGAGCCACAGTGGGACCACATAGACAATATGGACAGCCAGGCCCCGACTGATCTGGGAGAAAATAGACTGCAAGTTAGAGCAGCCACGTACTTCAGCAACAGTTGCCAACAGATGGCCCAGGCAGAGCCAGACCACCACCAGACCACAGTCACCAGATTGCCTCAATCTTTGACACAAACACACATACACACACCCTCAAAGCCATGTGAAACCCCATTTACTGAGACTCCATCTCAGTGGGGTGCAGAGGGAAAAATGAATTACTGAAAGAGACTTTCCACATTAGTGGAGCAATCTGAGTTTCCTCCTCTCAACTGAACGTAGCTTCTTTTTTCTCCACTTACTAAGTGGAGAGGTGGTCTTAAGGAGAAAGTCAGGTCAAATTTAGAAAAATACTTTCTTTGCACATCTAAGTGTAGTGAAGACAAATCTGTAACCCCAATTCCAGTCTTATCCAACTCCCTCCATCTAAAACATGGTGGCCAGAGTCTTTCGAAAATATCAGTCAAGGGGTGCCTGGGTGGCTCAGTGGGTTAAAGCCTCTGCCTTCGGGTCAGGTCATGATCCCAGAGTCCTGGGATCGAGCCCTGCATCGGGCTCTTTGCTCAGCGGGGAGCCTGCTTCTCTCTCTCTCTCTCTGCCTGCCTCTCTGCCTACTTGCCATCTCTGTCAAATAAATACATAAAATAGTTAATAAATAAATAAATAAAATAAAATATCAGTCAAGCTTGGGCACCTGAGTGGCTCAGTTGTTAAGCGTCTGCCTTCGACTCAGGTCACGATCCCAGGGTCCTGTGATCA